GCAAGCAACAAGCTCAAATGGATGATTTCAAAGAACTCCACACAAATGATAACAAATACATTGATGAATTTAAAATACATTTTTTTCCCACTCAAACGTCCAGTACCCAGCAACCAGACAGCTAGACACTGCTTGGAGAGCCACTCATACATATCAGGAAATTAGCTGACCCATTTATCTTTAAAAATACAAAAAAATCAGTTCAATGGGCAGCTCTAAGGACATGCTGTTCATTTACTGATCAATCCAATTATTTCATTCCATGTATTTTCCAGTTTTACTTAGAGAAGAAAATTAGGCTACCATATAAAGCTTTTATTAATAATAGACACCCTGTTTCTACCTTGTAAAGTTAATGGTAAATTTCCTATTTAATTTAATGGAAGATGCTTTAATTGGGCCTGTAAGACACTGTAAAACAGATCTGCCCCAATACAAAAATGATTACAAGAAAGTTTTAGATGTCTCGTATGTCTCCTATACACTTGTGCAGAAAATAATCTAAATACACATTTCAAGCTGAGCTTCAAGGAGCTCTATACAGAGCCCAGCAGTAACATGGTCAAGTCTGCCTCATCTTAATCTGCCTTGTAAAAATCCTTATGAAAAGGTGGTACAAGTTTACCTTATGAACTCATGTGTGGGAAAATTCCATAGAGGTCACTCAAGGATTATAAGTGGGAAGAAGTGCTTCTAGCAAGGGTCAGCAGATGGTCTGGAGCCTGGGACCCAGAGTTTACTCAGATCTGTGGCTCACCTGCTGCAGGTCTTTGGCCATGTCATCTCATCACAACCCTTCTCACTCTGTGTACTTTGTTTATCTAAAGCACAAAGTCTTTCTTCAAGGAGGTATTATTACCTGTTACTTGTGCAAATGCCTTAGGCTACTGGGTTATAATTATATTTATAAACACCCAGGCATTACTGTAAGATACATAAAATGAGAAATAAACAACTTTACAGAAAACTTAGTGTACTAAAATAGTACATATTTCACCTTGTTTGTAAAAAAAACTCCCAGGGAGACTGGAGAGAGAGTTGTATTTTCACATACTGTAAACCAATAGGGAAAAAAAACTGCAGAGGAGTTTACTTTCGACATCTTCATTAAATATATGTACGTGTGTAAGTCACACAGTGCTGCTTTTATATAAAGTGCTGCAAGTTCGCATGCCTAATGCTCAATTTCACACTGAACAAAAACAAAATGATGTATGCAGCCATTCATACGTGCACAGATATTGCAAGTGCCAAATACGAAATCCCTCACAGCACACAGTGCTACTGTGTACCCCCAAAAGTCAAGAAAACTGTGCCAACTTCTAATATCTTGTTTAGAATGCCACCCTCCTCCTTGAAACCTGGGCCTTTTAAGAAGGTTTTTTCTACTCAAAAGAACCTGTCCTGTCACTTCCATCCAGACTTTCTGTCACAGGGGAACAAGTCAAGTGGAGCAGCCCAACACCTACAACTCTCTTCTGCAGTTCTTTTATCAAGAAAAAGAAGCAAACCCCCATTTGTCTAGCCTTGGTAACAGCTGCGCAAACTTCAGTCTCGTTCTGCTCAGGATACATGCATGCTGAACATGTCTTTCCCAGCAGGCTTTGTCCATGTTTCCTATGAAGAAAAGGAGTAACTTGTAAAAGGACCCCTCTTGAAGAAGGAGGTCCCTCACTTGGGGACCAAGCACCCTACTCCAGAGAAGTGCCTTTCACTCTCTTCTGTTCGATCTTTCTGCTATCACCAGTGAGACTCACCCTCTGCATGGTCACTGACCTCTCCACCTTCATCCCCAGTAAACAGATGCTCCTTGCCTCTGTTACTCTCAACATCTCTGAAATTAGGCTCCTAATAAATTCTGCATGCTGAATCTTGCAATGAAATTTATGTGGAAGAAGGTGACTGACACTAAGGACGCCATTACATATTTTAGCACTCCAACTTGTACAAGATCCAATATGGTCACTACTTGAATGAACACAGACATCCCCAGTGGAGATGGCATAAGTCTTTGCCTTCTCTTAACTGGCCTGCATTCACGCACAGAAACACAAAACAAATGGAAGAGAAGTTGCAACTCAAAGTAAGAAAAAGTTCAAAGTTACACTCTGCACTGCTACAGTTTCTGGTAAACCACTAATGTTACAAGCCAATAAATGTCATTCTGGAGCACCTGCCAGGTCTTCCAGAAGGAAAATAAAACATTCTTCCATCCTGCTGCATCCTTCCCCCTTTATCCCATAGGAGAAACTGTGTGGTTAGTTTACAGGGAGCTTCCCGTCTGCCCACCTGTTTCTGTTATGAGACCTGAAAGCAAGGTGCCTGCCACTGAATTACTGAAGTCAAATACCAAAGTTAGAGTTTGCATTCTAATCTTAATACAAAACAGTGTTTAGTGCTGGCGCTGTGCCTACATCCTAGCAAGAGGAAGAGGCCCTGGTGTGCTCCCAGACATGGGTCCTGTTCCATTCATCACTGGAATGCCAATGGGACATGCATCCAGGACATGTCGTGGATGAGGGCCAGCAAGGACACCCCAGCAGAAGACTGACAATACAAGTGGTCCCCAATCTGCACTCCAGCACCAGAGTCCTGTGAGAGGAAAAGAGGGGCTGACAGCAGGCCACAGCATGCCCTCCTCCCATCTGAAATGGTATGTGTCCCTGACAACAAGGCACTGTGACAGCACATATGTGAGGCCAGTGAGTCCCCAAAAAAGCAAAGGGTTTGGGAAGAGACAAGGCTGCCTGCACTTCCTTATAGCACAGCCACCTCTGTGGGGCAAAGCACTATAGGAGAAAGCTTTAATCCTCAAAAACATCATCTGGAGACACATCAGAGGAAGAAAAAATGCACCAATCAAGGAAGAAAAAAGCAATTCAAGCACACACTCATTTCTCTAGCAGTCCATGAAAAATTTACCCACTCCACAACCAGCTACGTTTAACAGCAAGTCTTAGTAACATTAAAATATAGGGGTGCAAAGGAGACTCAACACTGGGAAAGCTTCAATTCATGGCACCCAGTCTGCAATGAGGGCCACAAGGTTCAAGTACACAAACTGCTGACACCAGTGTAATCTTGCAATGTCCCAGCTATGTGCCAAAGCTGAAGCGTAGGTGGCTGCACATTTGGAAACAGCTAAGTAACTGCAATATGTGTAATTTGCCCTCCTAGGACAGCATTGTGGCGTGCCTTCAGCATACAGTTAAAGCTCCTCACACCACCACAGGACTACAGAGCCATACAGTGATGTTTCCTCTTGTATGTTAGCATTTAGTTTGGCCTTTCACTTAACATCTGCATGCGGAAGAGAGAAAATAAGACGCACATTTCTCACAAACAGCTATTCTTCAACTCTGAAAGCATTACTAGAGGATTTGACATCAGCACTGCCAATCTCAACATGTCAGCACTCCTGTGCATCCAGGAATTGCCCTGACAGCAGCAGCGCAGTCCGTGTCCTGAGCTCCCTGGTCCTCTCCTGCACCCCGCACGTGCGCACAGGCGACAATGCCCGCGGTCACTGAGCTCCGGAGGCGGGAGCGACAGCTCTCACC